TTAATTGAGATTTCATTCTATCTTTGAAATGCTACAATTAATTTGTGACTCTTTCACTTATTGACTATTTGTTTTTAATTATTTTGGGTGCAGATGTTATATTGGTAGCGAAGAGATTATCAAAATTTATTTGGATATGGATTTATGTTTTAAATTTAATCATCAATTATATTTGGTTGTTGATTGCCATGTTGAAATAACTTATGATTAAATTAATTTTCAAGATCTCATTTCTTTTGAGACTTAAACCACAAATTTCTTCTTTTTTTTAAATATCTTTTTATGCAGATTCAAAGCCTGAGCAAATGCAAGCGATCTCATATTTAAAATGTTAGGTTTTTTTGAATAATTTAAATATTTCTATTCTTTATGTTTGTCCGTTCAATTTTAATGCATTTTCAAACCTATTTATGTTTTGGTGAATCAACATAAAATTAAAGGAAAAAAATTATTTTATTTTAATTCATTATATTGTGTGGGATAATTAACATAATATCTCTTATTGATTGAAAAAAAATGAAAAAATAGCATTCTTTTATTTAATGTTAGTCATTTTGATTAATTATAATTTTAGTATGCTTTTGTTACTCCACTTTTGGTTGTCTTAACTAACTCTTATTATCTATTTGTTATGCGATGATTTAAGATGAAAAAGGTCAAAAATAATAAATAAACAAGAAGATAAGTGTTCGCATTTATTAGATAAATGTTTGCTAATAAAATAATTGACTTGTATTTTTTTTTTTAAATGTGATGTTAAAATTTTAAAATTAAATTTTCTATGATATCTTTAGCTCCTTATCTTTATCAAAAAAATTAAATTTGAATTTAAACACTAAACCTCCAAAACACATTATTATCTTTAAATTAAGTTTCCATATAAATTTGAACAACCACCAATAAAATCCAACATTGGAAACAAACCCTCAGCAACATCCTCCTTTTTTCTTTTTTCTGTTTTTTCTCCTCCTCCTCTTAACGCAGTGGTGGTCATAAAAATTTCTTTAAAGTATTAATATTTTAAATCTCCTAACTCCAATAATTTATTTATTTTTCCTTTCCAGGGAAGATTATAATATACATAGAGCTTTGCAAGCAATATCTCGAGGTTAATCATTTTTTTAATTGAAATCTATTTGAAGTCATAAAATTTCATGTAATTTTTTTTTCATCTTTATTCTATTGTATTATTTAATGATAGATCTTTTCAAGCAACATGTTCAAATTCATATAAATTTACATAGGGTCTATATATGGTTTTACATAAAATCTACTTAGGTCTATCAACTTTTTCATGCAATTGCTCTAGACTTATAGATCTTCGAATGCATTTTGTGATAGCACTTGAAAAGAATTTTTATTGAATAATTCGTGCATATTACAATTATCAATCATTTCATTTTAACTCACCATAATAAATATATATATGTATATATTATTCATGTTTCTTAAATATATCATTTGTCCTATAATATTTGGAATAACTACTACTATACATTTTTAGTCGCTATTGATCTAATTATTAGTTATATATGATATCTTAAAAATTCATTTCAATAATTGATTGCAATTATTAAATTGATATATGTTATATATGATATGTTTTTTAATTTTTCATGTTGTGAAGTATTAAAAATTTTGAATGATGTATAATAAGATTTATATACACAAATTAAATAAAAATATTGTATTTATATTAGAAAATACAACTAAATAGCATAAATATATTTTTTTTAAATTTATTATGTTCACTTTGTAAAATCCCGGGTGACTACTAATATTTAATGAAAGAATTGTAGATAACTTTTAAATAAATTAAAATTAAAACCTGATTAAAGAAAAAGTGAAGAATAAAAAAGATTCCGAAAGTGTGGAGAAGTTAAAATTGGAGAATGATGTAAAGAAGAAAAGAAAGAAAACTTACTTCATCATGAAATCAAGCCAAGCCTGGGGATTCTTCTTGAGAGCATTGACCACGGGTCTATACTCATGCTCCTCTATCCCGTACTCTGCCGGTATCTCCGCTACCTCCGCTGCCACTGCATATGCATGCATTTCTCTCCACATTCATCATCCCCATCCCCATACCAATACCAATAACAATACCAATACCATACATGCATACTCATACGCACCTGTATCAGGGACGGTCACGATCAGTTCCTGCTCTCTCCTCAGCTCCCTCACGTAGTGATCTGCCTCGCTCTTCGCTGCCAGATACCTGCACAATTTCCCGATATCCCAACGCCAAGAGCGAGTAATATTGTGTTTGGTTAGAGAATTTGACGAAGAAAATAGAAATAGAAATAAAAAGTCAAATAGAAAGAAAAGGAGAAATAATCAATACGATTTGAATTTGAAGTTAGGTTTTGTTTTTTTTAACGGAATTTGAAGTTATGTTTGATTGAGATGGAAAATAGAAAAAGAAAAGAGTTTAGGATTGTGTTTGGTTTATAAATTTTAAAAAAAACTTGAAAAGATTAAAGAAAAAAATAAATAAAATATAATTATATTTTACATTTCTTTTCCCTTTTCACTTTCAAATCTTTTTATAAATTCATAACATCTAACTAAGTGAACTCAAAAAAATAAATAAAAAAAAAAAAGAAGGTAAGATTTCATTTTATTCTCACTTTCTTTTTCTTTATATTTTTTTATTATAACCAAAAAAAAAAAAAATGTGAGAGGGTGTTAATGATTTGTTGTTGATGTTGAAAATATATGTGTCTCTATGTTCTTGTTGATCTGTTTGACGATGTTGATTTTGGTTGTGTGTCTCAGATCTGTGTTGTTGAAAATGTATGTGTGATATTGGTGTTGATGATGTTGAAACCACCGTCGAATCCCATGGAGATTGTGCCGGCTGCGACCTCGGCGATGCCGGCGGTGAGGATGATGGAGGAGGAAGCGTTCGCACCGGAAAGACTAGCGGCGAGAGCGAAGGGGACGGTGAGGCCGTCAAAGACGCCGATGATAATGTCGTGGACGATCTCGCCCGCCGTGAAGTGCTTCTCGGCGTGTTGCGTCAGAAGCAACTTCTCTGATTCTGCGGTCCGATGATTTTCCGCCATTGAATCGATTGCACCAATTGAAGATGAACAAACACAGACTAAATTTCCAAAGCCTTTATTTATTTATTATTATTATTAATTTTTTTCCTGTGAGAGTCTGCAAGAGTTTTTGGTATTTGGAAGGAGGAAGATGAGGGAGGAGGGTGAAGCTGTGCTCTACTTAATAATCAAGGGGGGAATCGGTGTGTTGACGTATATTATGAGCAGCGGTAGTATATGTATTAATTAATATGTTAATTAATGTGTTAATATTTATTATAATATTATTATTAATTTTATCTATTATATAAATTATAAATATCAAAAATTATTAAATTTACTAATTAATATATATAACATTACTCTAATACAATAGGTTGGCTGTTTGTTGTCATGCTTGGGAGAAGTTTTTTTGTTTTTTTGTTTTCTTTTGAAGGTGAAAGATTTTTTTATTGACTGTTGTTATTAGCACACATCAAGGGCTTTGATAGAAACCTCTTCAATCACCACTCCCACCACCTCCACACACACATGGTGGGTGGTGATTGGAGGAGAAGAAAAAAAAGAAAAGAAAAAGGGCATTGATTTAGACCCCCTTAAAATACCTACCCCCACAACCCCCTCACACACATCGGAGGTTGGGATTGGATGAGAAGCAACAAAAAAAAAAAAAGTTGACTAATCAAAATAAATGGGGTGATCCCAAAGGGGTCTCAACATTTATTCTAGAAAAAAAAAAAAAAAACTAGCCAATCTTATTGAGAGGGATCAAAGGGGGTGGCGGAGAAGTAGTCTGAAACATTTTTCATCTATCTATATATATTAAGAAAAGGGTTTTCAATATGAGAAGCGGTGAGAATTCTAAATCCTCAAACTAAAATTCTTCAATTTCTATGGCTCATAATTTCTTTTATTTAAAATATATATATTTATATATAAATAAACTAGATAAAATCAAATAATCTTTCAAATATATAATATTATTTATAATGATCATACACGTACTATTAATATATAATTATTGTATAACATATTATAGATATTGTCATTTCAAAATTATAAATTCACTTATTATGCAAACTAAAATACCTAAAGTCCCTAAAAATTATGTTATATCATCCATAATCATTAATTAATATACAATTGATGCGTATAAGTTATTCAATTATTTTTAAAGGTTAAAAAAAAATACACCAAACAAACACTAGATAACATCCAAATTCTTGAATTTCCTTTAAAAAATGTAAACTCAACTTTATTGGATCAATTTCATTTATTTAAAGGAAAAAAAAGAATAAACAAACAAGTAGATATGTGTTAAACCAAACAAGTATTAACATATAAAATAATATTGATTTTCTCATTTTAAAATATTAAAAATGACTAGCTCAATTTTTTGTTGATCATATTATCATTTTATATTAAAGAAAAAATCCAAAAAATCAAATAAGTGATTGACTATTTAAATAAAACAAAGAAACATTATCTTAATTAAAAGATTGAGTATTAATTTTAAAGGATAAAGTTATATAGATAAGTAAATCAGATAATTATGTTTGATATAGACAGATAAATATTAGCTTCTTTATATAGAATGCAGTTCTTTATTATTTATTATCTCTCAATGAGAGAAATAAAATATTGTAACAACTTAGACTTTGGTGTATCTCTTAACAAACTCCCTCTAATAGTTTTCATCTAAACTTAAAGCTTACATAAGGTATGCAATTTATTAAATCTCTTATATGTTTTTGTTTATTGAAGTTAATATATTTATTTGTGATACTTAACAAAACTCCATTAGAGTATGTGATTTGTTTATTGATGTAAAGTAATTAATTTAATGTGTTAACATGATACTCAATAAAAGCCATTAGAGTATATGTTGCTTTAATAAATTTGTTATTTGTTTATAGGTGTTGGTAATTAAATTTATATATTTTACAGTGGTGTTATTTCAATTTTATTTTCATTTTGTTTCTTCATTGAAGGCCTAAGAGAAAGAAATGTTATTCAATATATTTTTCATGAAAATTATATCATACATATAAATCATCCACAAAATAGATTACAGATGTAAATTTGGAATTTGGTATTAGAGTTAAATTTATGTTTAGTAATGTTTTTGCAGGAATTGATACTTACATATTACATTTAGAATTTGATTTAGAATAATTTTCACTTTACACTTTGAATCATATATATATTATTGGGATTATATTTCTGAGTACAACCGCAAGGTGAGCGACGTGTTAGCCGAGGTGCACGTGTTTGGTCGTTGTGCGAGGTATCTGCAGGCGAGGTTGCTCCGAAGATATCAAATCCGAGATAACGGATAGGGACAGAGTCCTAGAATAAAGAGGGAACTCAACTTGGATATGGACAAGAGTCTAGATTGGAAGAAGACTTCAGTTTGGGTAAAGTAAGCTCATTAGAGCAGTTTATCATATCCACTGGGAGTTCCAGATTTAGCCGTAATCCCTAAGTCCATTAGGGCCAGGCTCCTTTTGGACTAGGATTGTATGACTAAAAAGAGAGCACCCCCAATAGGGTAAGGTATTGCTTTTGATACTCAAGCTTGTAGTTTAGTTCTTGGTTTTATCTTTGAAGAGATATACTGACTTGAATCGTCGGAGTGACCCCCGGGTGGGTCCGAACCCACGCGGGATTCTTATATTTCTGTACAGGTCAGTCAGGTTGCATCTACTTCTAGCAGTGCTCTCCAGCTGGTTACTAAGCGGGACAGTGTGGTCAGAAAGTCACCCAACACAATTGGCGCCGTCTGTGGACAAGAAAGAAGAATAGATGGCCAAATGCAGAACACGCAATGAAAAAATAGAGACTACGCTCTGCTGGCGAGTGGAAGACCTTATTGATCTCGACGTTGAAGGGGAAATAGCAACACACGACACTCGTGACCAAAGTCACGGAGTCGAAAGAGACCGGCCCAGGCAAGGTGACTCCAAAGAACAACAGATCGAAGCAACGAAGATGGACCTCCAGGTATGGAAGGATAGATAACTGCGGAGGAAGAAGACCTTCCAGAAGGGATGCAAAGGACAGGGGGCCATGAGCGCTCCACGAAGTAACATTCAAGTATAGACAGAGACTCACCTGAGTGAGCACAATTTCCCAGAATCCCAGATCCCAGAAGACAGTGATCTCGGCCTACGATGAGTAGGTCCGAGAAAGAAGAGCCAACCCTGAGTGAGTAGAATCAAGATTTCCCAAAAATAAGATCTCAGGACCTGAGTCCGAGAAGAGAAAGAGCACCAATAAGCAGATCTCAAATCCCCAGAAAGATAAAAAGGAAACACACACCAAGATCAGACTAAAAGTTGGCCAGAATTGAGAAAGAGTATGCTAGGGCGAGGAAGACATGCCAGGAAACCCAAAAAAGCGCATCGGAACAAGAAAACGAGAGACTGCTTCGCCGAATGCCGAGGCAGAAAATCAAACCATCAAGGATTGGAGCACCAAAGTAAGATCCAATAGAGAGAAACCAAGGCCGACAACACTCGCGATTGAATTTCAACCTCAGGCGACAAGGTCGAAAGCATACTGATGAGAACCCAAAGATGGATTTAAGTTCACATTGGAGGGCAAAGAGAAAAGAAGAATGCGCGTTCCGTCACTTCGGTTGAAAATTTGTAGTGCAATTTAACAAGTCTGGTTAACCAATATGATGCTTAGCGAGTTAAGCGCAGATGAATGTTTAACCGAAGTTAAAGAGACGATCGCCTTAAACCGAAGTTCAAGCGAGATAAGCAGCTTACCAAGTTAAGACGCCAGTGACGTTTCAACGAACCGTTCCACCCGCACGCACTCAATGCTTAACCGAAGTTAGACCCGAGACGATGCTTAAACCCCGCAAGTTAAGCCGAGGATGCCGATGCTTAATTTGAAATTAAGCGAGATGAATTCCTTGCTCTCCACTTGTTGAAATTTGTAGCAATCTTATTCAAGTTGGAGTAAGCTGTTAACTTGCTCTTCACTTGTTGAATTTGTACGCAACATTACAAAGTTGGAGTCAAGCTGATCCTATTCACTTGCTTGAAAAAATTGTAGCAAATATTACAGAAGTTTATCATTACAGCGATTACTTTAATACTTCACACTATGGTTTGAAATTATGTCAGCCAATTATACAAGTGGACGTTGAGTACTGACTTATCCTTATCCTTCACTTGATTGAAATTTGTAGCAATTTACAAGTTGGAGTTAAATCCGACGATATCTGTTTCTCTTCACTTGTTCGAAAATTTGTAGCAATTTACAACGTCGAAGTGAACGGTTATAGTTATGCCACACTTGTCAGAATACTATCAAATATGTTAAGCCCGGCATATGATATCACTTGTTGAAATTCTATGCAATGGCAATATTAGCACGCGTTGAAGGAAAAAGCCCTAAGTATGAAATGCTTTGTTTAATACTTGTTGCAAGATCGTAAGTAATTTACAAAAATAAAGATTATTGTTTAAACA